ACCAAAAGCCATTAGCTAAGCAAGGAAGACATAGCATACACGTTGATCTACTTGCATAACTTTATCTGAGTCATCGCATTGAAAGTATAAGTTGTTCAGAGGCGCGACGAAGATCCAACAACTGCAAGACTGAACTGTTTGGGGTTCTTGAGAGCGTTGACCTAGTAGCCGACTTAGCAAAAGCTGGCAAACCAGATCGACGAAAAACGCGTGAAGCTTGTGTGACCGTCTACGCTGCCCGTACCAGGCTTAAGAGGCCTTATGCCTTATGACTGTCGGAGAAGCTCGCATGTTATCCTTTATACGACACAATATCAACGAAAATCAGGGTGGCATTTTGTATAATATAGTGCATGTTGATCGTGTTTGGAAATTATCAGATGCGCTTATGAAAAGCTCTTACAATTCCTTTTATGAGAGCAGATAAGTTACCAGCTCGACATCCTGAGCAGTTTTGTCCTGCTTCAGATTCAGCCTATTTCGACGGACTTTGTGCGATGGAAGGGCAAAAATTTAGACTTCCTGGGTCTAATTTTTGCTGTGTACTGGGGTCTTATTTACCGAGGACTACTCGCCGCTTTCGTCTGACTGTTTATAGAAAACAACCCCGCTATCGAACTAAAAAAATTCTGTTATAATGCAAGCCGAATTCACTGAGTACCGTACTAAAATTGCGTGCTAGTTTGTAACGAGTGTTACCTAGTTGACCAGTTTCTGAGATGACTAGCGTTCGTTCTTCAACAGCAACTTTTGACCCAGCAACGACTTGCTAGAACCTCAATTGCCCTCAATTATACAACGTTTCACTACAAATTAAACGTTCTCCCCATTGAATCCGTTGGACAATGAATGGAAAAAGGGCACGCCACTCGTCGATATTACCAGACAGTAGCCTGGTTGTGTTGGGTAGCTTTAGCCGCCTTGATAAGATTCTATTCTAGCGTTTTCTGACACAATGTGAGACTACGAGCGCGACCACACTTATACTACCATATATGAGAACCCCGTCGCTGTTCTATTTGCACTTTGAGCTTAGTTTAAGGCTACAGTTTGGCAGCCTGTAAGCCCTTGGCACTAGGTCTGTCTGACACGAGTAGGAAACAACCGTCCATTCCAGCAAAGATATTAACGAGGAAGAAGCGGCTGAGCAGAGAGAGCCATATTAGCTTGCCACCACACGCATGTAAGACTACTATAGCTACTGGGCCCAGTGCTGCTTGCTGATGGTTTCTAAATTTGGCTTTTTCGCTTTTCGGCCTGCTATAAGGGTTATAAGGTCTAAACTATGTTGACTCGTCAATGGTAGTTACAGCGAATACTCAGCGTTATAGGCCAACCTAAAATTTCCTGGCTGGTCCTTGTTCTCCTACCGCTACGCTTCGCAGAGCGTTCCGCTTTGTAACGCGTGTTTGTAAGTGTACGTGAGTGTTCAAGCCGTGGGTGCAAGTCAAAAGCAGCATTTCAAACAGAATGTTTCCTCTTAGCTAAAGCACCTTTAAGAACGAGTTAGAACGATTAACAAGGATGAACGAAATGCTCCGCTTTCTACCATTGAACTGAATTCAGAGATAGGAGAAGCTAGGGCAATGGAACCAGTTGCTGGGTGGAGGCTATTACTCAGACGATTATGGCAGGCGCCCACCCTATGGCCGATACTACTGCATTGTTCCGGTAGGGCCCAACGATCTGTAGCTGGTGAGGCTGTTGGTCTCATTTCGGCTACTGGTGCTGCTGTGGACCGTATTTGTTAATTCAGCAAAGCCGTCTTGATTATAGATATTATTTCTGCTTTTCTCGTCCGCCCAGAGTGCTTACTACCCTCCTTTACGATACGTTTTTCTCCATTGGTCAGGAAAAGTTGTGGGTTCGCCTTTTTCTTGGGAAGGTTTCCTCGGCCGCGGGCTAAACGTAGTGAGTTGCATTGTCGTGGGCTAAGCGACCAAACAGGGGGTCACTAACAGAAACAGGAAAGCAGCCAAACCGCTGAACACGATTTTTGTTTGGCCAGGATAAACCAGAGTAGTCGTCGGTAAGCGGAAGCGGTCGGTCTTAACAATGTCTCTAAGTTACGGTGGCAAATTACCAATGGTCGACACAGGCAGCACAAAAGAGCAGAACGGAATGATATGATACAATGAGACACACTGGTGAGAACTAAATAGCCGCTTAACCAAGACAAAACGGGGCAAGTTCGTTTCTCTAAGTCAGGTCTGGCCTTTAAGACATGAGCGAGCTTGGACAACCGTCGAACCAAGCTCGCGGCAGGAGAGAAGGAGGAAGTTGGCACTACTTACTCGAGCAAGAGGCGGGGCAGAACTGCAGCTATTATGCGTGTATATACTTATATCTAAGTAGAAGTGTGTATCTATCGAGTTCTCGGGGGTGTACCTTTGCTCGCAGAGCAACTAACGATTAGAATTGACGACAATAGAAAACCAACCGTTATTTGTATCGAGTGCGATGTGTTAGATCAGTTTCATTTGACATCCTGAAGCGTCGGTTGTTCGTTACGAGGATAACCGACTGTAGGCAATGAGGTTCCAGCCTGTCACCGTACCTACTGAATATAGTGAATTCCGATTAAATATATAAGTTGCGTTATTTCCGAAGGAACACCAGCGACCTTTCCTAAGGAACTAGCCTAGCGAACCGTAGCTAATTTCAAATTCCGCAGGTTTCTGATTGATGATAATAACGCGGCTTTTTCTCCTATTGTCTTGGCCAGGAGGAGGAATGGTATTAAGAAGTAATTGCCAAATGGCTTAACAGGAGGAGGGAAGGACCAACAAGCCTAGAGAAAAGCCCCTTTCTCTCCATTTACTTATCCCCATCTCCTACTTTTTCTCCAGTGTGAAGTGCGCAAAGCGGACAATTTCATCGTCTGCATTCATGTACGCTGTCATTTTCGAAGAATGTACAGCACTACTATGATGCTGTCTTTTGGAGGGAAAGTAAATGGGGTGGCAGCGGCGCAAAGCCTTAAGCCTTCGAGCAAGTTCTTTGAAATTCTGCTGGTTCCGTAATACTTTATAGTGCGCGCCTTCGTTCTTCGCTGCGTCTCGTTAAATTGTTTACTCCTAGCCGGCAGCATCTGTCTGCCTTCCTATCCATCTGTCCTGCTCAAGGCGACGTTGAAGGGCTTTTTCTAGAAGTTTCATCGTTCGTGGAAAAATTATCGTTCAAGCGTCGGAACTGAACCAACCGTCTCTAGCTTCTGTTCCACGTAGCTTCTTCCATCGCTCGGGTGGTCGCTTGGTCGGCCTCATCTTTGCAAAACTAACATATCATTTTCCGGTATTACTACCAGTACTGCGCTTAGCCTGTGCCGACTTCCACGCAGCCGCGCGACTATGCATTTGTTTTATGGTGTATAAGGTCGTCTGCGTGACTCTTTCACACTTCCCGGCGGCTCTTGAAACCCGCCAGTAAGTCGAAAGGTTCGACATCCGACGGCATACCTAGTAACATACATACACAGACGTAAAGAGAGCGCCCTCGGGGTGATCACAGCTAAGCCGTCTAGGCGGCAGACGAAGGCACTAAAAGAACAACAACGACAAAGGCGAAACTAGCAGGGAATAAGTTTATTCCAAGTCTGCATCAGCTCCTAGGTCCCATACACCCAAGTTTGAAACGAATGTGGCAGCAATGGCAAATAAAAAAACAAGAATATCACTTCACTTTCGCTGCCGACGGTGGCCGCTGACGGCCGCCGCTTTTCATTAAGCTCCATTAGAACATCAACAGTAGCAGCACGGAACCTTCGTTATTTCAACTAGAGACTGCTGCTGATGATGTTAAATTATTGTACCGGAAACTAGGACTTTTCCATGATGCAGCAGCAAAGAAAATGTGAAAGTGGCGGAAGAGTTCTGAGCAGAAGCAGAAGTTGCGTATTGTTCATAGGTTACAAGTACAACCAAGTCTCGGTAGCCGCAGCTAAGGTAAGGCAATGCAAGTCAGACTACACTGTAGGCGCAGGCACTTAGTTAACCGGTTGTTTGCACACCTGCGAGGGTAAGGCAGCTTGTCGAATTTATTCTGACACTTCGTCCACCCTCCACCCGCCCGAGGACTGAAAGTTGGAAAATAATCAGAGTTTTCATCGACTCCACCGTGCTTCATTTCGCCCGAACAATCTTTGTTTTTTTTTTTGCTACAATCCACTTCACATCACTAATGTTCGCGGTATGGTCCGTGAATGTGGTTGCGTTTATGACATGTGAGACCATCGGTATTATACGAGCCGAGAAACGATGTTCGTCTAGCCTTTAAGCCGTCATGCTGGGTCGTACCAGTCAAATTGCCCAGATTTAATGCGAAATAGTTGCTGGTGGCCTTCTCGTTCCTACTCGTATGGTCCTTTAAAGCAGAACTGTTATTCATATCCCGGACTTGTAATTTGAGTTGCAGCTCCTAAAGCAAAAAGGCCAAACTACACATGAGACAAACTTCTACATACAATACGTGATCGTAGGAGTACGAAGGCTCCCACCACCGTGTATGTGTGTGTGCTAGGGAACACTTCGAAGTACTGCACAGGTCTGATCGTATATGACGAGGGTACCCGTTTGCTCTCTCTGTGTCATCGTGCGTCGCCCACCAATGCGTTGGTTCGAGTAACACCCACCGTTCCAAGCATATCGACTAATACACTGAGACCTCGTCATACAGACTAATGCATCGACTACCGGTCGGCTCATGGTAACTGGGGGATACCTGCATGCACCAAGATTCGGTCGAATTGCTCTCGTGTATCCGACGTTTGCCCAGAAGACTTTACATCGAGGGGGAGAACCCAAGGCAATGGAACAATAAAGGAGTAATGACTAAAACCCATTTTCAAACGAGCTGCACAAGCATAAACGAAAGTTTCCACAGAAAACAGGCACCAAGCTAGGCAGGCGCAGTAACGGTGTAGTGTCCTTGTTTTGTGTTGTGTATATAGCTTTGCCAATTTGCCTCTTGCTCCTTCAAGCCGGCAGTGCAGCCCGACTCACCCGAGAGAAGTCGGCTGGCGCAGCAGACATCCACGTAAGCCCCATCACGTATTTATATGGCTGCCTTTGCTGTGCGCGATCGTTCATAACGATCCTTCGTTTGTCACTAATTCCTCATTTGGCGTAGGCTCACGTACTTTTCTTGCACCGCCAGCGGCAAGCGGTGCGGCAAATCTTGGTCCTCTATAGCCGCTCGTTCGGAATCTTCAAGACGACGAGAGCGACTGAGCCTGGCCCACGTCAGAATGCCGGTCCTGCTACTGTAAGCCCATGCCGCCTATGCCACTGCGACAATCGGTGGCCACATATCGTTTTTTTTCTATGGCGCTGGCTATTCGTAGTTGAAACAACAGAAGGAACGATGCCCGCCGAATTCAAAAGTCAAAATTCAAATTACGCTGTTTTCCTCCAGTTTTCCGTGCATCTTTGTGCCCTGAGCGGAAAAGAGTGTCATTTCGACTCGTTCTTGGTACCCAGCTCTTCCCATTCTACACCAATGACGATTGCTGCAAGTGCTGGGCTCGTTCAACTGAGACAGCATTTGTGGGTTTGCGTGTAGCCACCATAGAGGCTGCGAGAATATTATCGGAACAGCTTGATACAGAAGTCTACCGCTACTTGGGCAAAGAGGGCTCCGAAGCGAGCCAAAGGATGCGTTTATCCAGTGAGAGTTTACGCTCTCGGTTTTTCAGTTCTCGGCTTTCCCTCCCCATCTGAGCTCCCTCTATGGAAAGGAATTCCCTGTGGGAAATATATCTATTTAACGAAGTCACTTCACGATAACACCAAAACCAGTTTTGAATGAGAAAAGACAAATTAACTCGTTGTCTGCTACGATCCCAGGGCCCGTTCGCCGAATGCACCACGGACAGATTCAGCCAATGCCAATGTTGGGCCGACCGCAAGCACTAGCAGATGATGAAAAAAGGTGATTGGAAATAGAGGGTTGAAGGTTTAGAGATTGCGTGAGCGGAACGTAATGTAGACACATGCTTCAATAGCCCAACCAGAAGCATCGCGTTCAGGCAATAATATAGCGCACTGTGGAAATTCAAAATCATACTACCACTGTCCTCCACCGATGAAGATTTTTCCGGGTGAGAACTGTGACGAAGATCTCACGTTTTGTCTAGGTGAAAGCGACAGTATGGGATTTGTGGAGAGAAAGCCGTTCAGATCGTTGTAGGGATAGCATAAGAAAATGTGTTTGTCCTATGATGTAATGAAGATTACGGAGTAACGACACGTTACACGTATCGTTCCTATCGTAGCTTATAGTACGTGACTCGACATATAGTACGTAGTCCGACATCGTAATGTGCACAGGATGTTTCAAAAAGCGGGCTCAATAGTTCACAATAAACGAAGTATTTCCTTAGAGGGCAATTGAATTTGGAGCTTTTAAATGAACCTGCTTGAAGACTTCATTACATTAATTAGCGTCACTTCGATAATTAAATTAAACAACTGCTGAAACAAACTCTATTCAATGATGATAAGAACGTATATTTTTTTTGACACCATCGAAACTTAATGATCTTGTAGTTAGCTTATTTGCTGATCTTCCAATCTTTAGCGAGTCTTGAAATCACAGGTTGAGCACGAGACACGCTTGACACCGATGAAAAAACGATATGTTCCCTAAGACAGCAGCTGCCTTAGAAACTAACCTTACAATCAAACCCATTTGCCGTCAACTGGTCAAGTAAACTTCGGCGTCACCGTGCGTTTGTTCCTATTTAAAGGCGGGAGTATCACTTTGGTACCAAGCGGGTGTCATTTCTAGTGATGACTATTTCGCGTACGATACCCACAGGCATAATAGTATGCCTCAAATTGATCGCTTGTCGAATCTACTAGCAAATATAATTGTGTTCTAAAATTATAACTCGAGTTAACTGACGTTTCTTCAACTTATCTTGCTACCTTGCTAGGTATTTAGGTGCCACAAGATAAAAGAGCAGAGTGTTAACTTTATGCAGACACTCAGACCGCTGATCGTATCGGAAAGTTCTTTCCAGCGGTGTTAGCTTCAGACAAGAATACCAATAAAGGCTAGTTAAGATATTTTATTACTGCAGTTATTACTATTGGTATTACAAATCAACTGAACATGAGGTATTGGTTTTTACTTCCTGAGTAGAGTTAGCGTCGCTCACATAATTACATATTTACTAAAATTATACCCAGCGAATAACTTTTTAACTTTAACGACCCGCTAGTCTCCTCATTCGAAAAAAGTACTTCATTTACTGTCTTCTACTACCCCGCTCTTTTGACAAGACAACTTTACTCCTCTCTTTGCTTTCCGATCGACCATAGAAAACCATGGAAGGACAGCTACGCGAGAAAATGACGAATCATGAAGACTCTATTCATAGCGACCGTTCATCGTCCGCAATTCGTCCAAAGATCCTTTTCGTCTATTCCGAAGAAATGATCGAGGTCAAGAAGACCGCACATTGTACGACAAAGAAATGAGAACAAGAAGCAGCTCTGCCCATCGGTCCATAAGCTTCACTTCCTGCCTTTTGCTACTGCTACTGCCGCCCTTACCGAACTAGGCTCGAACGAGAGGTTGGTCCACGTCGCGCACCCTCGTCAGTCCAGCAGGTCCATCAAGTGCATCCTTCAAAAGTCGTAGCGTCGGCTCCCTAGAGTGCAGGCTTAGTTGTTGGGAAGCACCTCTTGAACAGACTTGACGACGATTGAAGAAAGGCAGAAGATACAGTGCTGGGAGAGATGCCGCTAGAAGGACAACAGCAAAGCCGTAAATATAGTGGATGTTAGCAAATTCCTTCTACCAGCCAATGACGACAACGAAGGTTTTTGGCCCAATTCACTGACGGACAAACGCCTAAAGCCGACGTGGATAAGAAAGAGACCTGACAGACCAAACGGTGTAACGAATTATATTATAGGCTTAGCCAAATTCTTTTATGAATTCTTCTAGCATTCGACTGCGCTATTCAGCAGAGTAGGATCGGCACGCATGATACGTACCAGTTGAAACCGCCGCGTTTTCGTTGCAATACGAATGTTGAATAGACGCGTACATAAATGTAAAGGCGCACACGCTCGTCCACCAAACGTTGCTTCCACGCGAGGATAAAGCAGATCCTCGAAGTGAGACAGCTGTTGGAAATGCAACTTCAAAAGACTCCTAACGCCATCAGCCGATAGATACTAACGCCGATAGAAGAGTATTATAGGAGATTCGAACCCGCTCGCAGCCGACGACTTTGGGAGGAATAATATGACAAAAAAAGTTAAAACCGCTTGAACAGTGAACCTGCTGCTCGGCAGCCAGGGTAGACCGACAAAGTGTACTCAAAGGACATCGAAAGAATGTAAGGACCCGCTTGCCTTTGGTCGTAGTCGGTTTGCTCAGGAGGGGGGGGGGGGGGTTGGACAATGGTGTGGCAATATCTGGACGCCGAGGCCGTATCAAGCATATCTCTGTCACAAAAACAGATCTCAGTCTGAGAGAACGAAGGGTATTGCCTTCGATAATAGCTGACAAAAATGGTTTCTGTTCTCGTCTTCAGCATAAGCCGCCATTTCTGTTCTGGCTGTCCACCAAATGTCAGTAACGTTGGGTCAACGTTATGAAAAAAGATTTTACTAGCACATACGTGTATATACTATTTGAACCATATTTTGTAGATAGGCCCTTAAGTAGAACTGCGATTAGATCAATGAAGGGTAATAATAAACTCGAGACGTATCATCTAGCCTAGTAGACGTGCAATAGTGAACTAGACCCTGTCAATAACTTGCTCGCTTCAGACTCCGCGAATACTTTTGTGACTTTATTATTTAAAACACTCTGCGTACTGATAGTAGCACGTTGTCAGCCCACAGGAGCAAAGTCTTCTAAACATTGAACTACATCCTAACCACTCGAATCTCCAAAATCCGTCTGAAATTTCAAGGCTACCTTCATGTAGCGTTCTAGAATCTTTCAATAACTATTATCACACGTGTTGTCTCTTCCCACCGGAACAGCCTTTGTAACTTAGCAGCCTTTCTCAATTCAATTTGTTCGGTTTGTCGCGCACAAAATTGCCCTATCCTGCCTTCCTTCGCTCCGGGGCAAGCTTTCCTTCGTTAATATGACCCAGCTCGTGACAGTCGTGATGCGGGATCACGTAGGGAAGCGATGCGATCCACTCTCATGCCAAGGAAATCACTTAAAGGTTGCGCTATTTGCCTGCCGGCTCGTCTTCACCTTCTGACTGTCGAATACCTTCTTTCGGAATACTGGTATCCCTTAGCGCACCTCTTTGTGCGATTCCGAAAAGAATTATTGGCCAAGACGACGTTGTAGATCTCCAGCGCTGTGACAGTAGAACGCGAAGTCTCATTGTCTACTATCAGAAAACTAGCCTCATTTTACATCTTTCATTGTCTCATCATGCAAGTAGAATGCAGTTTATTTTACTGATATATATGCTATTGGCATGAAGTGTAACCTCTAAGTAGGATTCTATTAGCCGTAACAGAGGGTTACAGTCGTGCAGTACCATGGCATCAACGACATTTGCTACACGGTAACTATGATAAGTCAAACAATGGTTCAGTGCATACGCCTCAATCAGAAAGCTAATGTCTGATACTTTTACGGTCCGAAACACCGTCTTGTGCACGTTCACTATTAACGTTTGGAACGACGTTAAAATCAGAAGGACACAATCCGCATGTCGCAGCTCACACATGAACGGATGCTGGCAGTTTCCGCAATACTTCATCCGAAGACGTCCAACATAGTCAATTGTAATTAATATACTATATTATTACTAATGCACATTTATGCAACCGTAACAATTACTCAAGCTTCAGCTTCTTATCTTCTTCGAGTAATTTACGTGTTTGCGATTCGATGGCTACGTTACGCAGCACAAGGACCTATGCGAAAAAACGTACTGTTATTATTGAACAATCGATAGCACATCGACACGATGAAAGATACGGAACCGTGCAAATTCCTAGTATTAGCTCAATTTCATTATTACTACAATCGTCTTCCGTTGTTTTTTTTTTTATCGTAATCATTAACGGAATGTAACTTGCGATTTTTTTGCCCCAATTTTCCATACCACAATATACCACATAATCCAGTGGCAATTTTGCATCCCGAGTTCTATCTTTATATCTATGTATATAAATATCCGTAAACAGCTATACCTATACGCTCGATCAGTCCCTATGGTTTCATATTATTACTCAGTTATCAAAGAAAAACATTAATCGTCTTACTTTTATTTGTTTGAATCTGAAATTTTTTTTCAATGCGGTGATTCTCCGAATTGGAACATCGGCCAGATTTTGGTCGTTTGTTCCCTGCTGGCGTGTGTTTATCTTGATTTGATGCTACAAAAATGGCTTGACAACGTTCTATCGCGATAATATGGCTATTGTGTAGAGCTGCCCAACTTGGTCGCCCACCTCATTTATATCCTATAGGGACTATACATATATGTCCGTAAGCCAACTAATTTCAGCCAGCTTCGATCAGGACAAAAGATGTCGTCAAATATCGCGCCGTTCTCGTGGATCAAAGCGGCGATGACGGTCACTAGTGTACATGGAACTATTTCGAAAGTGTTCTGCTTTGTATTGGTTTATGTTATGTTTAGTTATCAATGCATGTGCCGATAGGAGTACGAACGACTAATCGGTCAAAAAGTCTAGCTGCAAATATACATATATATATATATACTGGCAAATATACATATATATATATAAATGGTGTACATTTGTGATTCGATATTCTTGTGTGTTGTCTTCGGCAGCACGAGGCTGTCGCCGTGTGTACGTGATACAAAGCGGTACGATCAGTACTTGCGGTACGACGCTGTTCGAGCTTGCATACGACGTACGATCCATTCAGCAATGAAAACCTATATATGTTTACTGTTACATAACAAGTAGTAACATTGATTGCATGCTAGAGTTCGAGCTTTGGCGTACAGCATTTATGAGAGTGCTATCTGCCCGACACGTGTAGAAAGTTCTCCTTGAACTGTCTGACCGTAAGTGGCGCTATGATGTCTCAAATCAAAACAAGCTATTGGAAAAATATAGAAAGAGCAAAAAAGCACACAGCCATTTCTGATACATAAAATACACAAACGCGTACAAAGTTTAATTACAACCTGTACAATACTTTAATGGGGGTGTGGCCACCATCTTCTACCATGGCACACATTCGCCCCTGAGCACGACTTGCGATGCGTTAACGGTCTCCGGTATTATGGAGCAGAAGCACGTGTTGGAGGTGGCACCCCTACAAGCGCGAAGAAGCGAATCCTAATATCTTCGAAGCACATTGAAAAATGGCCGCCATTTGCGCTGAGTGGTGCTGCGTAATAACATCCTTTAAAGCGATGGCAGTGGCAGCGCGGGGGAGTCTCCGCGAGGAGAGAGCGATATAGCCAATGTC